TGCTCATCCACAAACTCCACACAGGGACTCGGCGAATCCTGGGCGAGCGCGCATAATCACCAACACTCGAACTTTATCAGAACTTTCTTTGGGGGGGTACAGAATTAAAAATATATATTTTATTGAACTGTCAATACTTCATGTGGAGGTTGAAGTTTATTTGGTATTTTTGTTTCTATTGAAATAAAACACGGAAAAAAAACAGGCTAGTGGTTTACAGTGCAGAAGTAGAGAGCGTTTTGTAAAACATTCCTTTAAAACTCCCTCTCAGGTGTTTAAGATAAAACAACTTGTATCTTAAATTGTTAGACCTCTGGCTCTTTGTGCTGTAGATTGAAGTTTGCATGCTTCAAATGGGATAAATTATTAGTAGACTTGTAAGCTTTTGTTTGCATTGTGATTATTGGGTTGTAAATAAACTTGCAACTACCTCAAAACATACAGTTTCCAGACCTGGTTTAACAAATGTTAACACTCATCTTAATCATACGGATTTAACTGCTGTTGTCATGGAGAACGAAGGAAATTCTCGACAGTTTTTGTCCTACGCCCACTCACTTCACAACACTGTTGTCCATGCAACAGAGCAATTTGACTGTAATTAAATAGCTCTCGAACTGGAAGAAATTGCATCTCAAGTGTGCTTTATAAACACACGATAGCTCTCTACGATCAATTGAAATATAACACGCAGTAGTTCTTGTAAGAAAAACAGAATATATGCTACCTCTGGCTACATCTAACTAAACAAAACTAAGAGAATTACATTTTATGTGGCCAACATACACATTTATTCCCAAACTTCAGACATTACGTTTCCAAAAGGTCCGAATGTAAATCAGCCAATGAAAAACTCCCAGAAGGCAGCAGTTCTGAATAAATTAACTAATTCGTTGTAGCGGGGTTCACTGTAAGAAATATTTAAGTGGTGGAAACATTCCAATTAAGAAACGCAGGATAAACATTAAGTCGCGTTCGCCTTTCCGTTCATTAAAATATTAAGCCCTTTTGAAACGCATACGTACCTACCATAGGAAGAAGATAAACGATCTGTGTAGGGACCTTCTAGTTGAGGGAGGTGTGTTTAGATCCTTCTGGTTCATGAAAATGATGAATGGGGTTTTCACGCTAGCACTGCGTGAGATGTGCAGCCTTTTTTCTTGTTACGCTTTGCACATTACCCATCTGATCCTGAACCTTTAAAAAGTGTTATAAGAATTTTAAAAACATTGTTATAAGGACTTAAGAGTATTACGTTCGCTCTTTTGTGAGTTTATGATGTAATAGAGAAACTTACATTGAGCTTTGTGTTTTGAGTAGGTTCTTACAAGCTGGTTACTTTGCTCTAGGGTAGAATATCCAATATGAGGTTTCTATGTACTGCATATTTGGTTGTAAATATTGCAATAAGCAGGGGTATTTGAGTGGGAATAATGTAACACTGAACGCGGTGGAAATTGACCTCGTGTATTATTTTACGACCATTTAGAACTAATAACTAAACTTTATTTTCTACAGCGCCTTTAAAGGTGGCCCATCAAAGCGCTTTTACAGGATGATAAAAACAAAACATATACAAGAAAATACAGAGGAGACAGTAGATAGTGGTACTAAATACAGTAGGAGCAGAGGGGCAAAGAACAGAGCCAGTAAAGTAAAGGCTCTTCTAAAAAAGGTTTTGAGTGTGAAACTAGACTGCCAAATTTGCCTGTTGGAGTAACGGATTATTTTATGCAATATGACAATCCATAAATTGGTGTCGTTACTTTTAATACATTTAATAGTGATTTTCTAACAACGCTACGAATTAGAGGGCTTCCGGAGCAGTAAGTGAATTCAGATTACATTTATCTGTGCTATTGGGTCCCCCCACCCCAAAAAACGTCTCCATTTGGTGTCTTTTCAGCTTCCCTACTATTTCTGCACAGGCTATGACGTCCCACCGACGTCATCTTTTAAACCAGCACTCGCGAGACTTACTCTTTCCAAAATGTCTGCTTCCTGATTTCACGTGTACATGTTTCAGAAAACTGCTTATTCTCGTGTTTTAACACCCTCGCTTTATTAAAACAGCAGCACCGAAAGTTGACATTTCACGCCGAGAGGCAAAATGCAGCACGACGATGTAAGTAACAGTTTTAAGAAATTCTGTTTACATTTTGCAATTGAGTGGCGAGGTGGGTTGTTCGTTTCTAGCGAAACCACGTTTAAATTTCGCCAGTTTCAAATGTGTAGTTCACAATATAATCTTGTCTCAGCGCTAATAAGAAGAATGAAACCCCCACTGTCCGTTTTTTCTTTTTCTTTTGATTCTACATGCAGGTAGTTGAATACCTAGGAGGTTTAAATTAAATTCGAGTTAAAAGTTTCTCTCTTTCTAGGTAATTTGGGATATTATTGGAAACAAACAGTTCTGTTCCTTCAAAGTCAAGTAAGTGTATCGTTTATTCTATATTCTTATTAAGGCGATTATACTTTATATCTTCTTTATCTTCTGCTGCTATACCTTTTAGTTGAGCTCGAAATCGCCAGTATTAATTGATGCCTTGAATTGATATGCTTGCTTGTTTAGAAATGTGACTTTTTGAAGTTAAAGTTCAGTTCAGTTCAGTTTCAGAAGTACCCATCATTTGTATTGTTGGAACCGCTTAAGTGTTCAGAATTGCAAGCAGTCTTTCGTCAACTTATTCGCCATGATTTTGGATTAAAGAGCATCCAGTCAGTGATAGTTCACCATACATTTCACAGTGTCTGCTTTTCTTTCTTCTGATAAATCCAGTTTATTACATTTCAGGTGACACTTAAATGAAGGGATTTCTGAAACTTAGAAATTGTTAACGGATTGAAATCAGTTACAAATCAGATTGGATAATTTCTGAACTGAAAGCATATTTAATGATAGAGTGTCACAAATAATCGCAGGCTAGTGGAATTTATTTTTAAGCACAGCACTGGAAAAATTGCCAAACGATACAGAGGTTTCCCAAAGCTGGAAACTGCTCCTTTAAATAAATGTTTTTACAATTTAGTAAAAAAATAGAAATCAATTGTTTATTATTTTAATAAAAATGAAGGATGGCTTCTTGGTAACTTCACTATATGGTTGTTTTTGTTTTCTTTTTGTACAGAACCAAGTCGCAGAATTTTTGCCGAAATGAATACAACATCACAGGCCTCTGTAATCGCTCCTCCTGCCCTCTGTCAAACAGTCAGTACGCCACTATCCGGGAAGAAAAGGGTACGTTGGTTTCACTGCTTAATTCAAACGCAAAGTCTATCCCAAAATCAGACACATGCTGTTCAGATCTCACTTTGCGTGTCCACACAGTCTGTGTAAAGCATGCTTAGGCTCGCTGGCATCTGATTTGGCCCATACCGTCAGCATGTCCTTGTAAGAGAGGCTTTCAGTTTAGTTGGATTAAACATCGTTAAAGAAATCTAGTAATAAAGAACATCCAATAAATTGTTCTTGGCGTTTCGTATGGACTACCTAGTGTCATATATTTTGGTTGTTGTTCATGTATTTGTTGGTGTAATAAATAAATAAATGTTTATTACACCACTGTTGCTTATATTATCCTCGTAGGTTTTGGTGGGTGTATACTTCACATGTTTTTTCAAAATAAAGTGTTCTCTTTTCTGTTGAGCTTCTTTTCCAAGAAGAATTGGCATGTAATGACTTTGCAGGAATGAAGGACTACAGAATACTCTTGACTCCTGTACTGTATTACAGTAGTACTGTTCTGTTTGTGGTGTCCTGCGTAGTCGCTCATGTCCGTCTGTTTGATCTTTCCGATGACAGGCCAGTGTTTCCTTTATATGAAGGTGATTGAGAGAGCAGCATTCCCGGCTCGAATGTGGGAGAAGGTAAGCACTCTGTCAGGTTGCTCTGTTTAATAACACAAAAAGGTTGCAATCAAGAGAAGGCCACTTGGGCCATCTAATCTGTGTGGTAGATAATTGATCCAGTGATCGTATCCAGCTGTTTCTTGAAGGTTAAAAAATGGATTTTAAATACTTGTTGGTAGACTATCCAGTGGCTGGAACAGCAAGCTAAATATTCCAGTACTTAAAAAGAAAACAAATGTGAATTGTGATTCAGACTATTATTTCTGTAGCTGCATGTGTGTACATATTATATTTCTAATGTGATTTTATAGATGATTGATTTGATTTATGTGATTTGTTATGCATGGTGTGTCATGTGGTAACCTGATTTAGAATGACAGCTTATATCTGTATACTTTATATGTTGTATACAGTATGTGCACTGTATACGTTGTGTTCTTCTATATGTTCAAAGCTTGATTTTTTTTTTCAGGTAAAACTGAGCAAGAATTACGAGAAGGCGCTGGAACAGATTGACGAAAACCTCATCTACTGGCCACGTTTCATTCGACACAAATGTAAACAGCGTTTTACCAAGATCACGCAGTATCTCATCCGAATCCGCAAACTCACCCTCAAACGGCAGTATGTTTTTTTGTTTTTTTAAATCGAATAGACTTTGATTTAACTCTACAGACAAATTCCTGTCCTAATTGAATGTGATGTGGTTGAAATCAAGTAATGCACTACATTCTAGATGTATGATGTATGTCCAGTGTTGTACATGATAATTTTGGTACAAGACAATGCTAATGTTTTGTGGTAGCAGTTAATGGGCAAAATTGTGTGATGCAGAACCTAAGCGTTGTTCTTTTTTTAGGAGAAAACTTGTTCCACTCAGCAAAAAAGTGGAGAGGAGGGAGAAGAGGAGAGAGGTAATTTTGAATAAATGAACTAGACTTCAGCTTCTTTAATAAGCTAACTTAGGTAGTCTATGAGTGTCTTAGTTGAGACTTTGCAAGTGTGAGTGGATTGTATCATAAGCTGCCTGTGACTAGGATTCTCTATGTAGTTGCACACAATTGGCAAAGAAACCAGGGTTTTGATTAGTGAAATGGGGGGCCGTCTTAGTTTTCTGGCGGCACATGGTGACACCTGTGACTTGCCAGGCCTGTGCAAGTCATGTGGGAGTTGCTGCCAGAACGTTTTTGGCCAAAAAAATTCCAAATTGCCAGGTTGTACAATAAAAATATTTGGTGATTCCAAATGAATAAAACATGTCATAGTAGACGGTAACGGATATTTTGTTGACCATTTTTATATCGGGGATTGCAGTTCTACAGATGCAGTGTAAATTACTCACAAAGTGACCGTGGAAGACACACAATGTACTGAAAATCTGATTTAATTTTTCCAGAATTTATTCATTTGTTTTCTGATTTGTGTTTGTAGGAGAAAGCCCTTATTGCTGCCCAGTTGGATAATGCAATAGAGAAGGAGTTACTGGAAAGACTGAAACAAGGAACAGTAAGGAAAAATGCATTTGCTTGTCTTAAGCTTAAAAAAAGATTGCATTAAACTTAAGTTAAATTTGTAGTAGAGTTGAATTTGGCATTGAATAAAACACTGTACCTGCAGTACATTTTTACTACAAGAAAGAATGCAGATTAAAGAAAGGAATACCACGTATAGATGTTATTTGACTTTTATGCCTTGTTGCAGTATTCATACTGAAATAGTTCTGCTTTGACAGTTCATCAGTATACTATATAAACTAGCTGCTATTTCACATCAGGTTTCATTTCACGTTCTGAGAAAGTGGCTTTTTTTTGCAGACGCTATACTTAAGACCAATGTGTTCATGAGGCTTTATACGATTAAGAGTTCTTGTATTAACTGTTTATCCGAGTACTTGAGTTGATGAGTATTTGAGCATCTCAGTAATTCTGCTACTCGGAACAGGAGCAGAAATTCTGCTGCATCATCTGCAGCTGCTGAAAGTACAGTATATTTACACCACAGTTCTGTACAGTATATTTAACTCTAGGTGCTGGCGGTCTTGGGTGTGTGACTGGGCTTCTGTTTTTGTGTTTCAGTATGGTGATATCTATAATTTCCCAGTCCATGCTTTTGATAAAGCCCTTGAGCAACAGGATGCAGAGAGTGAGACTGACTCCTCGGAGGGAGAGGAGGAGGAAGAGGAAGAAGATGATAAGGTGAGGGTTCTAATCCTGTCCTAATTTTAACTGATACTTGTATTCTATATTGAGTGAAAGAATAACAAGAACCTCTTACAGTTTAATATGTTAAATTCTGTTCTGTTATAGTCTATTAAATGTACAGTAAATGTGCGTCCTACATTTTGCAGTAACTGAAAATTGTAAATCTATATAGAAAAACATAGTATACATATCTTTTATTACCTTAAATATTATATATATTCTGCATGAGGCAGGTAGATTCTTTATGCTGTAAGTTTTTGTGACTGAAGAGATGCACGTTCCTCTTGTTCACTTCAGTGGAGATCATAGGGCAATTTGCTCCAGTGTCTTAAAAGTACTACACGCTATTGTATTCTGTAGTGCTTGAATCAGGGATAATTGATTCTCAATTTTCTCTTTTCAGGATGTTGGGAAGAGAGAATATGTGGCAGATGACGAAGTAGAAGAAAGTGACCTGAGTGATTTTGAGGTAAAAACATCCAAACCATTTACTTCTTTAAGTAGGTCCCCAGATGGCACTCTACTTCTGCTATTTTGTAGATGCAATCATCTTGAGCAGATGAAAATTACTGCCTATGGGCCTCAAAGGAAATGATGCCTGATTGCTGATGAACAGAGTAATGTCTGTGAACAGCATGTGTTGTCCTGGAAACTGCGGTTCTTGATGTTGTTTAACGATGTTCTGTAGTCTTCATAGGATGTTTAAGCATGCTAATAGTTATCCTCAACATGCTGCTTCAGACTGAAAGTAATTATGATGGAACCTTGCAAACCTGATTGCTCATCTTCATCCCCTTCTTGAAATTACACGCCGTAACTATGAGAGTGCTTCACAGGGCTCCAATGGGGAATGAATGCTGGAGTACATAATACTCCTATACAAAGAATATGACTTGGGTTACAAATCTGGGTTTAACTTGTTGCTTCATTGAAAATTTACTGATTTGATATAAGCGAGTCTATTCCTGGGACTTTACAAGATCCTCCTCTATGTATTGTACTATAAAGAGAATGGACAGGGTTACCTGTGAGTAACTTGACATTCTCTTGCAGGACATGAACAACCTTAAGGGCAGCAGTGAGGAGGAGGAGGAAGAGGAGTCAAGTGAAGAGGAAGAGTCCGAGATGGAACTGGAAGAGGAGGCAGAGGGAACATCTTCTGCCAGTAAGAAGTCAAAGGGCAAGATGCCACTTAAAGGACCATTCAGAAGGAAACGGGCCTATGTTGAGATAGAGTATGAGAAAGAGACTGAGCCAGCAGCCAAAGAGAAAGCCACATAAACCTACAGACTCAACAACAGGTCACCAGAAAGACTGGAGGAATTCCGAATTTCCTCTGAGCAACACAATCCTTCATTGCTGGTTTCTTTGTGCACATTATGTTTTTAAGACCTTTGAAGTGCTTTCATGAAATAACGATACCTGTGTTGTGCTACATCACTTAAGAAATTGACATAATATTTCCGTGTTCAGAATCTTGAATCTTGAATCTAGTTTTTCTGCACATGCATCTAAAGTCGGATTCAAATGTCTGGACTGCATTAGCCAAGTGGCTGATTGTTCTCTGTATCGATATGTTGGATATCCTCATAAAACATTTTTTTAAAAAAAAATCAGTATTAGTATACATTTACTGGGGGCTGGGTTTATACACATGCATTTTCTATACACAAGTAAATTTTATAGAATCTTAAAAGTAAAACATCACTTAGACATATGTAAATTTGGGTACTTCCCCCTGTTTAATTCTAATTTCAAAACATTTACACAAGCTTGCCTTGTGTGCAACATTTAATATGAGCGACAGTCTTTAGAAAAGACATTTAAAATATTAGCAAATTCAAAAAAAGTAACTATTCTTGGAACTTCAAAAACAACTATAGTAAATTTCTTTCAGTGTAGAGGCAATTTTTCTGTGTTAAAATAAGAATTATGGGAATGGGTGGCTGTCCTTTCCAAAACAAATGCAGTCCTCTAGTAATGTTGTATTTTCCCTCAACGTACAGAGCTGATTTTTTACTTAAGTTCCAAAGAAACAAAAGCTACATGAACTGGATATAATCATGCCACTGTAATTTTGATCACATCCTTGGATTCCTCTGATATTAGTTTTATTTCTTTTTAAAAAGACCAGGAATGTTCTGATACAGGCCATTACATTACATTGAGTAGGCAAACCACCCAGATTTCATCCTACAAATAACATTCACAGTAGAGACCACTGTGTTAAAGCTTTGTTGATTTTAAGCATCAAGGGGGGCTTATTTTATAATTCCTCATTTTCATTTTGAAAATGCAGAATGGATAAATGAAACATTTCAATGTAAAATTCAAAAATCACTTTAATCTTCAAAAATAAGAAAAGATATTTCAAATTTACAATACTTTTATTAACCATGCTGGAAGCAACATTACAGTGGCTTAAAACATATTCAGTTAAAACTCAATAAGCTGAGTCCCATTGGTGAAACACAAGATGGTATGTAAATGTTTTATAAACAATAAACAGCCCTTTCAAATGTCAAATTTGTATAATTTTTATAACTTGGACAATCTTCATCCTTGAGTCTAAAGGCAAGGGATACAACTGTGGTTTGAAAGCCAGATTTGAGCTGGTATAATTGAACCAACTGCAAAAACCTGACAAACAGATAAATAGACTCAATTAAGAACTTGGGTGGAATTCCAATGATTTTAGTCTCTTCTAGCGTTGAAGCGTTAATATTTAGTAGAGCATAAGAGCGCTCTTCTTTTGCTAAGGGGCAAAAGCACCTTAGTCTCATTCAAGACTTACAGCTTAAAGCAGATTTGGAAGTCCAGTGCCTTAATCAGAAATACTCTTGCTAAATGGACAGATGGCACAGTGAATGTTTCATAATGTAAGAAAATGACTGTGGAGAGTGTCTTCATTATCTACACTTGGATGAGTATGGCAACAACATCTGATTATGTCAATATTCAATTCCACCATTAAAGGAACCGACTCATGATTTTGAAGATTCTCTGCAAGGGTTGGATACAATCCATCTGGAATCCCTCTGTCCTGGAGAGCTGAATTCCTGTAGATTTTATAGGTCTCTTTAGATTATCAGCAAGTGAAGAACCTGGAGAGTCTGTTACACTCTTATAGACAGAATTCAACTACATCTTTAGGAGTTGTGCTGAATTAAAATCTGCTGGACTGTTGCCCCATAAAGGGGTGTCCTGTTGTTGAACTTGCTCAATGCATTCCAAAACACGGATGTGTGTGCAGCTGCTGTCAACCTCTTTAAGGAGGACCTAAAGGAAAATCGGACAGGAACAGGTTACCACTATGCTGCAGGAGATGAGGAGGCACTGTTGCAGTAACTGTGCAAATATGCACACAACAGCATATTCTGCTGCTGTGCACAATTCATTTTTTAAAAACCTAGTGTATAAATGCTTTTCTAGAAAACAATCAAAATATTCCTCATTGAATTAGGTCTGTACAAACCTGTGGTTACCTGGGGTTACTATCAAGAGCCATTTATGTGAACAACTGATCTTGCCTTCTGATTCTAGTATTGGATCTGAATTTTTTAGTAGAGGGACAGTAACCCCATACCTTTAGTGTGCCCTGACAGCTGTGGTCCAGGAGAATGAGGCAGCGTGTGGCTCTCTTCATTAGTTCCTCTCTTACAGCCGGTGGAGTGGGGCTGAGGTCTGTTGCTACATCATAGAGGAGCCTCAACAAGGTCTTAAGCAGCACGTTTATCCTGGATTTCATTCTGCAGGGAGAATTAAAATTATTTTGCCACAGACCTGCATTCATAGATGGATACTCATTGAAAGATTTATATACCAACTAATGTAATAAGATATAAGATCACTCTCATTTGCCATGAACAATTTCTTGTATTAGGAATTTGTCTTTTCGTAAACCCTAAGTTGCTTTCCATGAGACACACAGACGCTGACAGGGAGAGAGAAGCTTGGGGTCAGCCCCTTGAGCAGTTGGGGTTAAGGGCCTTGCTCAGGGGCCCAACGGAATAGGATTCCTCTGCCGGCCACGGGATATGAACCGGCAACCTTCCAGCTACAGGCACAGATCTTTAACCACAGAGCCACCACCCCGTACACACTCCATTTCTGTGTTGCATAAAGTCTTACCTTGGCCAAGCATGTTGAATTGTTCTTTCAAGGGCCTCCAGGACACACAATCTCGCCTCTTCTTCTGGTCCATCATAAACCTCCAGGTATCCCACAATCACCCTCTCCAACCTCTTCAGGTGGCGAACAGTCACAATGCCCAGCCTAGCACAGACATTGAGACAGAAAAAGGTGATCAAGTTTTTATCACAATGTAACTGTTTATCCTTCCCATGTGCCTGGTGATAATTATTTTAAGGCACATCCCCATTTAGAAATACTTTTACAGCAGCACATTTGAATCTAATTAAATCATGACTTAGCCTATGATATCACTGTAATTCTGTCAGCTGATTTAAACCAATAATGCTGGAATTAGTAGAAACAAACAGCAGACTAGATGCTAACAAACTCCTCTGCCCTGCAGTGTTTTTGTCACAAACATTGAATAAAACAAGAATCAAAGTTGGGTTTCTCATCATTTTTTTGTCACAGAGCACTTTCCTACCTAGAGGTGAAGAGAGGTAGGTTCCTTGCATATACTCGGCGCAGAGAAATCTTGTGTTCCATCTCCATGTGTGTGAGGAATAGCCTCAGCACCTCATCATAGCGATTGGATTTCCTGGGGGCATCTATATTAGATGGAGGTTTTTCAAGGACAGAGAGCAGGTCTAGCAAGCATGGTAGGACTGCCTGGAATAAGGCATCAAAGAAGGATAACAGACCATTAATTCTGATGAACTGCAGATTGCAGATCAGATTTGTCCTTACTTAAAAACTCTCCAGGCACCTCTGAATTCTCCAGATTTCTGCAGTCAGCATCCATCAATAGCATTTTTGTTACTGTAATTACACCTAGCCTTGGGCCTGTAAACACCTGCTATACTTCAGAGGTGGCATTAGGATTATGCTTTGTATTACAGTTACAGTGGGGTATTGTCCAAAGATAAATGGAAAGATGGACAGCTGCAAAAAATATTTTAATTTATTTTGTTTTAGTAGAAAACTTTGGCTCCTTAGGCCTACCTCTATTAGCTGCGGGTCAGACTTGTAAAGATGCTTGAAGAGAGCATGGTACAATACTTCAGCTCTGTTGTATTGACGTAGATCAGCAGCAGGCTGAAATGGAAGAAATAAGTCTTTTAAGAAATCAATCAACCTCTCATATCACCTAAAGACGAAATATGTATGTGAGTATGAGGAAAGTACGAGAATGCACTCCGAATCAAGTATTACATATTTACTTATTTAATTCATGTTCATAAGTTTATTGTATTATTTCAGTTCTGCAAAATAAAAATGTTCGTCATCTACTTCAGTTCAATGTGAAATTTCAAAAATACTAAAAGAACAATACAGTAGCTAACCAACAGTTAATAATAACCTAATAGTTAACTCCAGGAAATAAAAACTTACTATCCAAGTCTTGTACTGCTTTTAAAGCATGTTCTATTGAAATTATGTGAAAAATTCTGTATTGTGATATATATCGTTACCGTCCAAAATTAAAATTTACTGTGAGATATATATATACACACATTTTTGGCCACATCGCCCAGCACTAATTTGAAACCACTGATAACACAGGCTTTTAAAGGGGAACTGCTACAAAAATTGTTATGAAGTTATGAAGACTCAGCATTGATGAGTGCATTTTAAACCACAATAAAAGTAAAATGTACACAATAACGTGTAAAACCTCTGATTTACATCACAAAATTAGTGCAATTTCCAGGTAATTGCAGCTTAAATTTCCAGTGAGGTGAAGTGGCCCAACCACATTGTAAAGAAGGAGGCTTGTGAATACATCTCTTTTAACCACTAAAAATACTGCTCTCGATTTCAAGACAGACAAACAGATTTCTCACCCGTGGCAAGACCAGGGGTTTACAACAACATGGGGTTACATGGGGTTACGGAACATTCACAAAGTTCACGATTTTGTGCTCAGTTTGAAGTTCGTAAAAGTTGTCTATACCGTCGATGAATTTATTTTTTGACAAAGATTTATTAACCGGTCTGAAGAATTGCAACTGTAGCTCCCTATAAATTGCTGTATGTAAAACTGGTTTCAATTGCTCCTACGTTCTTCTTTTAAAGTTGGAATCGCCACTCATTTTTGTTAGACCCATCCCAGCTGAAATAGGCATGTGGTGAGTTTTTCCCACAGGGAAAAGAGGGAGCGTAGGCAGATTTCTCTGTCCCGCCCACCTTCATGGCAGCTCTCTTTTAACACGTTACAGGCCACACTGGCCCATACTGGAGCTTCAGCGCTGATCGGAGGAGAGGGGCATCACCAGCACGGCTTGCCTGCACTCAGAGCCCTGATAACCTACTCCCGCTCTAACCCCTGTGGTGCTTAGCCAATTTTGTACAGCAACTGGGAGAAGCCTGGGCACAGCTGATCTGTGCAATGCCACTGATCTGGAACAAAAGCCACAAGATGCAGCGTATGGTGAAATCCAAGTTGGGGAAGTAGAGATATCCGAACACAGTTTTACAACTGGAACTGCAGAATCATTCAATGAGAATTGGATTTAGAGCACTGATGTACCACAGTAAGCAGGCATTAGTTTGAGACGATGCATCTTTTAATCTCTTAAAAGCCAACACTGCTCCAAGTTCAGAACTTAAGAGTTGGCTACTGTAAATGACAGTTCAGACGGAAACCGGAAGATTAATGCTGGTCCCAATTCTACGGCATCCCTTTAAAAAGTCAGATAAACCTACCACATTAAGGATGATGTGACGTAGGCAGTGGACTCCCAGGACTTCATTCTCTGTTCTGTAATCGTCCGAGAAGAGCAGAGATGGGGGGAAAACGTGGTCCAGGAATTCAGACAACCAAGGACGACTCACTTGAGTTAGTGTCCAGGAAAAGATGTGCTTTGTGGCCTGGTTTCGCATCCAGATGTCCCTTAATCAAAGCACACAACACAACTGTAACCAAGACCCACGGAAACGCAAGGCAGGCGGTGGGACCGAAGTCCATTGCCTCAATTTGTAAACCAGGTTAAAAGCCTGAAATTCATGACGCTTGACTCCTGTGAACTTGGTGAACATTTGATGGTGCACAATGAGTTATGGGCACGTATCTTTAATAAACAAAACACAGAACAGGAAGTAAATATTCATGCAGGGAAATCATGGTCCTCAACACTTTTTATACAGTGTCTGGTCATAATTGTGTGTGGAATGTAAGTACTTAGAGAAACATCATATTCATATTCATACAGTAGTTTATACATGATCAGTATCTTACATTAAGACCATTAAATACTTGCACGAGGTCACCATTTTCTATCATCCTGTTCAGTATTTCATAGGTTTCAATTAAATTAAAAACACAGCTAATTCCATCTTCAGGACAAGTTCAAGAAAAAGTTCACAAGTACGGTGGGAACTTAATTCTAAATGATTGTATCTAACTGGCTACCGTTACAACCACCAGACATTACTGTAAGCTCTTACTTTTTCAGTTCTGGCTTCAACATTTCCAAAACAGAACCTAAAATCCCAGAATCATCATCTCTGGACTTTCCACACAGCAACTCGGCAGCAGATGTACATCCAGCAGCCTGGATAGTGGCAGATAAAAGTTCGCCAGCGGCTTGCTTGGACTGGGTACTTGTCCATGGCTCATCTTGAGAGTGTATTACCGCAAAGACAAACAGGGAGGGCATCAGTCTGAGTGCCAGTGATTTCACTGGGGTGGCAGCCCGGCTGCAGGACACTAAATCCTTACTGTCCTCCAGCCTCTTGATGAGGGAGAGAAGAACGGCACTAACTTTTACTGCCTTCTGAGGGATCAAGGCATACGAGCTTGTGGGCAGCTCCCCACTGTCAGTCTCGCAGGGTGGAAGAGCTGCATACTGAGTGAGGGCACTGGTGAGATCTAAGTACACTCTCCTGACACTTGTGCCTTCATTGTTGCAGCAGTCTGAGAAAAGCCAGTGGCTGTCCCCAGTCGCAAGAAGATGCTGGATGCTCTTTAAGATGTCCTCTTTGGTTCTGGGTGAGGCCTCTGCTTGGAACAAGTCCTTGATCTGGGATAGAACCTTCACCACTGAGAGGGACGGACAATCCCAGGAGATGGGGGACCCTCCCTCTGTCCCTCCACATATTCGAAGGCTCTGTAGAATGTCTGGCAAATCCATGATCCAGGAAAGGCCTACTGTAACACACACAAAAAGGCAGGAACACATACTGTGTCACGTGATAATTTTATATGGGATCTTTAGAATTACTCAGAAATGAAATACAAATTCATTCCTTATATCAGGGGTGAACAACACTGTGTGTCAAGAGATCCCCTGTTAAAGCAATTGCTTTAGTAAGCCCAAAATAAACAAACTCCGAATTAATTCTAATAATCACGTTTTCCAACATGTTATTGCTAATAAAATATTTTAATCTAATTTAATATTACCACATTACAAAAACATTAATTTTGTCACTTGACTGATTAAATGTTTTGTGACCCATATCTTGGGTAACAAATGGAATGTTAGAGGGCCGATAGGTCCAAACCCAACCGCACTCCCAAAATAATCACAACTCATCTGACAACACTGGTGAAAGGCGAGGACAACTGCTCACAAAAACACATCAGATAACGTCGCTCTTTTCGCATTTGTTTCTTAACTGGACACAACAGTTCGTTCAGGCCGCGGGCGTTCGTTTATTTGATGCTTTTTCGAAAAAAAAAAGTTATTTCTCGCACGCCGACAACCTGTTAAACTGAGCACCAGTTTCATGTCCGTAGCTACACAAATACCTTCGCGTCTTGGTTATTTAAACTTTTGTCTTATAACAACGTTGCATCTTTAAACCCTATTAACGTGGAACGTGCAACACTTTTCACAATTTTCAGAAACCACAAGAGCCATGTTAAAAGTATGGATTAAATTCATACTCGGTGGAGGGAGTAATGCTAATCACAAGATCATTTTTTACATATCACGTAAATATTAACCTCCTAAACTTTGGAACAATACCATCAGTGATGAAAACAGAGAAAATAAAACATGCGAAAAGGACATTAAAAATCCAACAAATATTTGCGCTGAACGGTTTCTTACAATACAAAATTATTCATTTGATTTATTTATGGTTAGACGAGTATATAGAAATACGCATAATTCCTTACGAAGACTTATTAATACAAATTACACCTTTCTTAAAGAGTGATTCGGAGCTAAAATATGAGAGGTTTTATTTATGCTCATGTACTTTCTGCAAATAAAATTTACCTTATCTCATCTCGTAATTTGTGTCTCCCGCTGTATGTTCCCCTGGTGCACCACAATAATACGTCCCCTTTCTATGGAAAACAAGGAGCAATCACGGTCCGTCTACTTTCTACATCAGTGCACATAATTTCTATATGAAATCATTTTCTGGGCTTTTAGAGGACTATGTATTTTCTTAAAATAGTGAAAGTATACCCGTGAATTCTCTTTATTCATTACTCATCATTACTCCTATTTAACATTAAAGGGACTAATTTATACATTAGATAGATAATACTGTATTAATCCCGTAGGGAAATTGATGTGTTACAGCAGTCCAGCCCAAGACAAGCAAAACAGACATCAGAATAGTTATAAAACAAAAAACAACAAAATAGATAAAAATAAATAAATACGTAGGTGTGTGCAAAATGTGCTGATCATAGTCACTGTAAAAACAATAAAATATATGCAAAAAGTGCATAGGTTTATACAGACTGATTGTCCAAAAAGTACAATGGAGTAAACATGCTGTCCATAGACGAGCAAACGAAGGGCTAACAGTCCTAGCCAAGGGCAGCGTTATACACCCTGACAGCCGCCGGGAGGAAAGACCTGCGGAAACGTTCCCTTGGACACCGTAGCTGTTCAAGGGATTAGCGGGATACTGTAGTCTTACAGGCTATTTTGGAGAAAGAAACATCCCTGGGCCATTTACACAATGAAAGCACTATATTTTTTCATTCTTTTTTACATAATATCCTTCCCAGATTTATAATAACATCCACCTCTGGTTTTAAATGTCTTAAAGATGTCGCTCCTCCCCAATTTCTACCATTCAGCACTCTACACGAACATCACAAGACATTGTTAACAACCATTTTGTCCATAATGCAAAAAAATGGGCTGACATTTGCAGACTAGCATGCTACTTTCAAAGTAATTTACATTCTAAATCGAAACGCAAGAGAGCGCCAAACCCCCACAGATACAGTTGATATCATAACAGACTTCCGTGGTGAAGTTTTGCAAACGCTGTCCCCATTTGATCTGCTTTATATCTATCCCCGAAAACAAGAACACATTGCAATTCAAAATAAATGGAAGCATTTTCATAACGCGTGGTTTAAAGTGCTTTTCATTGTTCGTTTCTCATTGCATTTCAGCCCATCATTGTCAACATTCCAATTTCCTGAGGTCTGTGAAAAGGCACCTCTTTGTTATCACAACAGGACATTGTAATGGCTTTCGAGAAGATCACACCATTCTTCAGAAAAAATATAATAAGAAAATGTTATGTACTTTTATTTAAATGTCATAGCAAGGAAATAAACGCTTCTAAAATAAAGCCTTTAAAATGTTTTATCCGGAATGCCAGGGCTCAAATAAAGTGTTTTTTTCCCATGCCTTTTCATATCATCTGCCTAGAACCCTTTATTAGCCAAATGTTTCTTTTTCAGCTTTGCAGCCCCATTGTTTTACAGCTTAAGGGAAGTGAATAGTTGAATTGTGTAGCGTTTACGTGTTGTTTGAAAGGATTGTGTAGCAGTTACAAGTTGTATAAAGGTGCACAGCCATAGATCAATGTTCCTGAACATGACTGTTGATTTTCGGATTCATCAGAATGTATGAAATATATAGACAACTTTACTAAGTTATGGTTGTTATTAAAAGGTAATAAATATCACTAGAATCCACCAGGATACAAAATTATCCACCCCTCCGTTTTCTAATCACCTTTTTCGATTACAGGCTTGCAGGATAGCTGAAGCCTATCTCAGTAAGCAATGGGCACAAGGCAGGATACACCCTGGATGGGACTCCAGTCCACACAAGGGACACACAAACACAGACAAGCACACACTCACACCAGGGCCAATTTACTTAGAAGCCAATTAACCTACCAATATGTTTCAACTAGAAACGTTGTTTGGACTGTGGGCAGAAACCAGAACACCAACCAAAAACCCACTTGAACACGGAGAGAACATCCACACAGATAGCTTCTCAGGTCTGGAATTGCTACCTGTGAGTTCATGTGATCTATTTACATTTTTCTGTTTATTTTTTTGAAGCATTAGCAGGTTATTTTTTTTTCCAGTTTTCAGAAAGGGTAGCAATTTTAGTTTGGTGGAAAAGAAAAAAGACACGATGTATCTTATTTGTCCCTGTATTTTCCAGAATTCTGATTTAATGGGCAACAGTAAGAGACTTGATATGATAAAATCCTAGAACTGGGGCTGATGGCACATGTCTGTACAGCTGAGAGTCACTTCCCTGCGTTCTATGATGAGGCTGAAGAGAAGAAGCCAGCAGGGAGTTTGGTTGCAGGGGTTGGGCGAAGGGCTGTTGTTCTCAACAGGCTTGTGAGTTCGCTGTCTACAGAAAAGAATCCGTCTGCAGTCTGCAGTTAGAAGAATCCAGGTTAGGTAGGGGGCAGAAGTGTCAGAATAGCAAAACACAGGGTAGGATCCGGGCTGCTGAAGAGATAGCACCTCTAAGAATTGATTGTAAGATTGGGCCTGAAAGTACCTTGGATTGCTGCTGTTTTGTATTTATTTAACCTTTGAATGAATCGCTATTGGTTTTACTTTACATTAATGTTTAGTCAGTACACTTGGTGCTCATTTCCAGTACTAACGTAATGTATAATATCAATGTAACATATAAATAAACAAATGGAAAAGAGAATTGATATCCCATCAATGAAACACATCCAGGAGGAGGGCCCCAACACTGGCTGAACTAAGACGTAAATGGTTTTAAACCTGATGGGCCAATACAAATGCTTCTAGAACCTCTGTAAGTTGTATTATATGGTAGCACCTATTATCCCTCTAACAGGAGACAAATAATTTGGTTTGCAGGAAGGATTGTGGTAGTTGTGTCAGCTGGTGTGCTGTGTGCTATCAAAGCCACTACAAGTCTCCTTTGTCATCTAATAATGATCCTTATCAGGACTATTTTGTACACTGTGTGTTGCCTACAGTTCAATAAACATGATTTCATTGAGGTCTTTCTGCCTCTTGGCTTTAGTCAGTAACATGACCTGTAATGCTATTAGAAAGATGGGCTTTTTGGGAAACACGGAGTACAATCTCTGGTTTCACACAGCAGGTCATAGAAAAACTGCAATGTCAAGAGAAAGAGAAGCCCTTTGATATCTGGAATTGTGGTGACTTAAACTAAAAATTCTGCCATTTTCTCTATGTTGAATTGCTTGCTCCATATGCTTACTCCCATTGTGTGGCACTGTTATTTAAAAAATGGAAATAAACAGGAAAAAACAATTCTGATTCCTCAAAACTAAATGAAAGAAATATAAGAGGAAGAAAATGTCAGCTATGCTGAAAACATACTTGCTGAAATTGCTGAGATTTTTTTTAATTTTCTGAAATTTGCTGGAACGGTTATACTGTAGACAGGACAAGGACATTCAGCTCCCACAAGGTTCTTAGTAAAGGGGTGCCTCCTGCCCTCTGTTTTAAATGAATTTCCATGAAGTTTTGACTTGTGTTCTGCGATGCGTGTTTCAGTTTATTCTGAAAAAGTCCACAGGATTGTCTTTGAGTATTGCGAGTACACGTATCAAGTCCCTTTGTAGCTTCTGTTCAAGACTAAAGAGATCAGTTCCTTCAATCTGTTCCAAAAAGCCCTAGCATGTATCTGGTTGTCATTTTCCAGATTGATTCCAGATTCTGCAATGTCTTCTATAGTGCTGTGACCAAAATTGTTCAAAATATTCTAAAACAGATCTTAATATATTACGTTGTACAATTTTAACATAACATCCTTTGAGTTAAATTCTATGCCTTTAACTCTATATCCTAACATTTTGTGTTTTTGATTGCTTCTCCACATTGTCCAGAAGATGCAAAGACATCAACAGAAACACCTAAATCTTTTTCATAACTTTTTTTCTTGTCCAGCTAAAGTTTTTACTATCTGCATGCAAAACCCTGTACTCATTCAAATTTGCTGCTCCTACACTATTTGCTAATCCTTCCAATTTGGTATTCAGAATATTCATAGTCATAGTAAAATTGTCTTAACAGGCTTGGCTGTGGGACAACCTGCAGGCCACAGGACGGAGAGGCTGGAACCCCTATGTATAGAATGAGGAGTGACCCAGAGGCAGCTGCAGAATTGGAGGAAGGATGCAAAAGACATTGAAAGGAGAGAAGAGGCTTAAAAAAGTACTTACAATTTCTGATGCAAGGAAAAGACCAGAATGATTATGATTTAGGGCAACTGATTGAACTCGGCTGTTGTCATCATTATGAATTCCATTCACCTGCAAACCTGACTAGTTTACTAAATATTCCAGAATGCAGATCATCAATATAAACTAGGAAAAGCAGTGATCCTCGTACAGATCCCTGTGGTACTCTTAATTACACTAATTATATCACCACAGTTTGAGTATTCACAACTTACGTGTATTCTATTTGTTCTCTGTTTTTTCTATTTGTTAACCAATTGTCAATCCAAACACATGGGTCTCTGTGTACAGTTTGAGAATGATTGTTGAAATGTTATCCAAAGTCTTCTGAAAATCTAAACAAAGCACATCATAAACACTGTGTGTATCCATTAGTGTTGTTGCTTATTCAAAGAATTCTAACAAGCTGATGAAACAGAATGTTTCACATTCCATCTGTCACGGACGTCCAAAAGGACTAACCGTGGGGAGCAGGAGAGCGGAAAAAGACCCATATGCGTAGCGGCGAGACGGGAAAAAGGCCCGGGCTCAGTAGTGCAAAGAGTTCAGGAATGCCGTATAGAAACCTATGCCCTCAGGGAGCGGACGTGGGGCGCCCTGGTGCTAGGCGGGTCTCAGGACATCCGAACATCAATGCTGAGCCAGGACAGAGTGCAAAACCCGGAAATATATAGCCCAAGGAAGAGAGGGACAAGAAGGACAGCAGACCGGAAACTAGGGACAGGACAGAGAAGGAGCGCCCTCTGGCTGCAAAGGGCGTGACACCATCTTGACTATACTGTATAGTCAATGATGATCCTCTGAATTAGTTCTAATAATTGTTTCTGTAACCTTTCTATAGCTGCTTATTTCAATTATGACTCTCCTCTTATGGAGTTTTGTCTTCATACTTCCCATTTCTTTCTTGTCCTTTCTACTATCATTTTTATCCGCTCTTGCAATTCACCACACTTTTTTGATTCACTTGTTTTTCAGTCATTTTATAAAATGCTTTCATCTCCCTCGTATTTTTCCAAATTGATTTGTTGAACCATTTTCTGTGCCGTATTTTAGATTTTAATTTTGATACATTTAGTCTGTGTTTCAAGCAGAATCTACCGCAATCCTTACTTCCACTGAATCCATACTTATTTTATTCATTAAAAAAAGCTATTTCTTTCTCCTTAAAAGTCAGATTTCTGGAAACTATGCATTTCTGATTTGGACTAAACCAGCACAGTTTCAAGATATACTGTATTTCAGAGTATACATAAAATCCCTAATGGTTCTTTTATCTTTGTTTGCCTCACTATGTCTTGATTGCTTTAAAAGACTAAATCTATACAAGCGTTTCTTCTTGCAGGTAGTCTGATAGACTGGATTAAAAAGCAGTCTTTAACTATTTCCTTTTCTGCTGATGACAGACCTATAGCTTCTTCCCAATAAATGTGGGAAAAGTTGAAGTCGCCCATAACAACTACTTCTAATTTTGAATAAAAAATCTTAATTTCATTATACAGTGTTTAATTGTACAGTGTAATTAAATGGAATACCATTTAAGCTGATTCCCTGGCTTTCTTTGAAAAATGACTGGATGAAGCCCTTGAATGAATAAGCTACCCAATGGGCTAGATGAGCTGAGTGACTCACTTGTAACCGTTCTTATGTGATTAAACTCCTAAAACCATGCCTTTGGAAAGTGTTTTAAAAAGTTTGATTTAGACTCAAAGACCCTTAATTCCTCTAACTTGAATTTTGTTTATTGATAACTTTTCATGTCTCTCTGGAACAGTGTAGACATTCATCCGCAGTACATTCATCTCCATCGATTTCAGGTAGCCACATTTCCAGTAACATCATAATTCCCTGCTAATGTGGCATCATCTGTCTCATGTAATTTGTTTCTAACAGTCCTGGTATGTTTGTATAAGCTGTTAATCACCTGGTCCTTTGTTTTGTTTTTCCCTTTGATTCTCCAGTTGTCTTTGCTGTCAGTGCTCTTAAATATTAGAATATTGGATATTAGAGAAAAGAACAAGTACTGGATAAAATACTATCTAGTTAATATAGATAAAATCTATCTATACCATAATATATATATATAAAAGAAAGTATAGATAAATAAAAATGCTGTAAAAGTGTAAATGAGAGTGTAATGAAAAAAGAAACAAAATATCATGATAATCAAAGGTAACCTATGATTGCTGGTTCCAAGATCACTGCTACTTCAGCAATTTCTATTATATATAGATTATAATCAGGATATGACCCATGGTACTCTACAATGCAATACATCTTATGTCTTTTAAAAAACATTAGTCAGGTTTCTAACATGAATAAGGACTTGGAGATTATTGTAACATGACTAATTTCTCAGTGCTCCTTGGGTTTTGGGTTTGATTGTGGACCAGAATGTCTTTTGTGCCAATATTTTCTTTCTTAGGATGGATAATGCAAGGTAGGGCAGTAGTTAGCATTGCTAACCGAAAAAAAAAAACCTTGTTGTTTACTGCCATATTAAGTTCAGATCTTTTTAAAACACTTTTGAATGTATGTTTACTGTGCACAAGCTGGACTGCTCACAATCATTCTTTTTGATGTGTTCCAATGGTATTTCCTTTGCTCGGAGAGAAAGAAATATTATTCAGATGCAGACATAGCAG